ATAAATGAAATATCTAGGAATCAATATAACAGAGGAAACAAAAGAGCTCTACAGCACTCTGAAAAGAGAGATCAAAGAGGATATAAGAAAATGGAAAGACATCCCTTGCTTATGGGTAGGAAGAACCAACGTAGTGAAAATGGTCCATACTTCTAAAACTGCTATATAGATTCAATGCAATCCCAACTGAAATCCCAACAGCATATTTCACAGAACTAGAGAAAGCAATCCAAAAATTCATTTGGAACCAGAAGAAACCTAGAATAGCAAAAGCAATTCTAGGCAACAGAGACATGGCAGGGGGTTTCACAGTCCCTAACTTGAAACTGTACTACAAACTACTGTGATAAAGCAGCATGGTAGTGGCAAAGAAACAGATCTGAGGATCAGTAGAATAGATTAGAAGATACAGAAACAACTTCAGACATACTCAGCCACCTCATCTCCGACAAAGGAGCCAACCATCCTCACTGGAGGAAAGATAGCCTCTTCAATAAATGGTGTTGGAAAAACTGGATTTCAACCTTCCAAAGATAAAAACTAGACCTATATCTCTCACCAAGCACTAAACTAAAATTGAAGTGGATTAAATATCTAAATATTAAAACAGAAACACTAAGCTTGCTGGAAGATAAATTACGTAGAACTCTTGAAGACATTGGCATAGGAAAAGATTTTATGAACAAATCCTCAGTAGCATGGAAACTTCCACAAAGAATCAACAACTGGGATTTCATCTTATTAAAAAGCTTCTGCACTGCAAGAGAAACAATCAACAGAGTTAAGAGACAACCTATACCGTGGGAAATTTTTTTTTCCAGCTGTTCCTCAGACAAAGGTCTACTACCTAGAATATATAAAGAACTCAAGAAAATCAGACCCCTCCCTGAACTGAAAGACCCAATTCAAAAATGGGCATCTGAAATGAACAGACATTTCTCAGACAAAAAGTAAAAGCAGCAAATAAATATATGAAAAAATGTTCAACAACACTGGTCATTCAAGAGATGCAGATGAAAACAGCACCGAGATTTCATCTCCCCCCAGAAAGAATGGCTGCTATCAAGAAATCAACCTATAACAAATGCTGATGGGGTGTTGGGAGAAAGGAACCCTTCTCTATTGCTGGTGTGGGTGCAGACTGATGCAACTACTGTGTAAATCAATATGGAGATACCTCAAAAAACTAGGATTAGAAGTCTCATTTCACCAATTATCCCTCTGCTGGCTATCTTTCAAAAAGAATCATACTACAGTGATATATGCGCACCCATGTTTATAGCGGCACAGTTTGTAAAGCTAAATCTTGGAAATAGCCCAAATGCCCATCAGCTGGAGACTGGATCAAGAATATGTGGTTTTTCTGTAAAGTGGAGTATTACTCAGCCATAAAGAATGAGAAACTAGAGACATTTATAGCTAAATGGATGCACACTGAGGCCATACTCTTAAGTGAAATAAATGGGACACACGTGTAAATATGAAATCGTTTCTCTGATGTGAAAATAAAAATGTAAAATAAAATAAAAATGTAAATAAGGTTCAAATGGTATAATTGATAATGTGAAATAGGAAGAAAAGTTCTAAAGGAGTAGATGACATGGGGAAAGGCAGGGGAAAGGAAAGATGGGAAAAGAAAAAATATGAGAAAAGGTAAAAATGGAAACAAAGTCTCTGTAAATAGGGAAGGGTGGAGGGAGTGAAGGGAGAACCGGGAAATGGGGAAAAAATAAGAAGCAAGATCCATCATGTAAAGGTACAAGATCCCAATGTGAATGTAACTGTATTTTATGCCTAAAATGTACCAATAAGCTTAATGAAAATAAAAAAAATAAAAAATAAATAAAAGACTAGGCTGAGTGGATGCTCAGAAAAAAGAAAGAAAGAAAAGAAACATTGAAGATTCTATAATTTCACATCTTGCCAACTTTCAGGTTGTGCACAAGGAAGAAGAGAAGGCAAAGGAAAATTATGAACTTCCTGCCTGAGAGCTGAAGGCCTTAACAGCAACATCAAGTCCACATGAGAGACCCGAAGGTCTATGTTTTGTTTTGGCAATGGGCATGGTAGGAGCCCTCTGTTGAATAACTTGGTGACTGTGAAAGGAGTGAAATAGATTTTAGGGAACAGATCTGATAAATAATGAGATTATGTGAAAGAAGTTAATAAACATCCTTAGAAACACAAAAGCAGCCAACGCAAGCAGCATAAATAAACCTTGGACAGGGAGGAGAACCTGCTGTACAGATCTGCCAAATGATGATATTTGAAAGGCCTGGTTTCAACCAAAAATGACAAGGGAAACAAATGGGCAAAACTGCGTTGCCACGTGCAGGGGATAAAAGATGAACATGATGTTAAGTGTGCTCCGTGGGCACAAGGTTCACACGTATGGAAAACCAAGAAGAATGTGAGGAGGATGCCAACTGGTGGAGAAGCCTGATAAAATTCTATGAATAAAACTTTTAAGAAGAAAACCAATAAAAATGGAGCCAAACAAATTCTGGAATTTGAAGTAAAATAAAATGAAAAAAATTTACTAGAGATATTTAACAGCAGATTCGAGAAGAAAAAACAATAATCTAGTGAACTTGAAGACAGGTTCTCTGTGACTGCAGAATGAAAAGATGATAAATTAATAAACCAACAGAGATGTACTAAAATTGCAGTAGCACAATACCAGCTACAGCAAAAGGATGAGATGAATATTTGAAGAAACACTGCCAGAAAGTTTCCTTTGTGTAGACGTGAATTCATGAAATTCAACACATCCCAGAAAGAATAAACTTAGAGAGATCTATGCTGAAACCTTGTCTCCAAGTATTGGGAGACAGAGAGGATCCTAAAACAGCAAGTGAAGCACCTGCTCACATACAAGGAATCCCCAGCAATCTTCAAATGAAGAGAGGTCAGGAGGTAGTGGCTTGTTAGAAATCAAAAGAAATTATTTTGAGGACTTATTCGCATTTACCAGTGAGGTTACACTTTCATTGTTTTTTTTAAATTTTAGTTTATTAGTACATGTGTGTAGTATATAATGCTTACATTCCTTGTAGGAAGTTAGGACCTGTGCATAACACATCTCAATTTCTTTTTCTATCCCCATTCCCTACCCTCCCTCACCCTCCCTCCATCTTCTGATCTCCTCCTTTGAGAATGATCTGTCTCCCTGCCTTCTGTTATCTATTTTTATTGTGGTCTTTACTTTTACTCTGAGTTTCTTGTATAAGAGAAATAATGTAATATTTAAGCCTGCGTCTGATTTATTTCACTTAATGCTACGGTTTCAATGTACATCCATTTTCTTACAAATGACTCAAGTTTATCCTTCTTTATGGCAGAGTAGTACTCTATTTGTGTATAAATGCCACATTTTCTTTATCCACTCATTTGTTGATGACATATGGGCCTCTTCCAAGCTTAGCTGTTAGGAGTTTTGTTGTTACAGTATAGACATGGGTGTGCATGAATCACTGGGATATGATGCCTTTAACTCTTTTGAGAGGATTTTTAGAAGGGGAATAGTTGGGTCAAATGGAATTTACAGTTTTAATTTTTTGAGGAATCTCCATACTGATTTCCATAGTGGTTGTACTAGTTTCCATTCCCCCTAGCAGCATAAAAGGGCTCCTTTCCTCCACGTCCTCATCAGCATTTGTTATTATTTGATTTCTTAAGTAATCCCAAATATTCCAGAGCCATCTTAAAATGGCCTTTCTTTCTGCGGTAAGATGGAATCTCAGTATGGTTTTCATTCACATTTTTCTCATGGCCAGCAATGTCAAACGTCCTAACCAGCATCACCTTCTCAAGCTTGATGAGCTCCCTTTAGTATTTTTTATGTTAGGTCTGGTGGTGACAAACTCCTCCGGCATTTGTGTGTCTGGGAGAGTTTTATTTCTTCCTCATTTGTGAAGACAGCTTTGCTGGGTGAGGTGCTCTGTGGAGGAAGTTTTTTATTTTCTTGTAGTAGTTCAAGTCTGTCCCACCCTCTCCCTGCGTCCCAGGGCTCTTCAGAGAAATCCATTGCTACCTTATGAATTTTTTGTGTCAGGATGTTTTTCTTTCAAAATTCCCTTTCTTTCTGACTTTCAGCAGCAGTGCTGCCCTGCTATGGCTGTGTGAGATTTCCTTTGTATTGTTTGTGGGGATTTAGCTGCTTTTTGGTCTGGATATCCACAGATCTCCACAGATTTGGGGAATTTTCAGTCATGTCTTCTTTAAATAGGACTTCTACCCCTTTCTTGCTCTCTCACCTCCTTTTAAAATTCCTATAATGTAAATATTTCACTTGATGGTATCTCATAATTTTCATAGGCTTTCTTCATACTTTCCCATTTTTTTCTCCTCTGACTGGAAATTTTCAAATAACCTGTCCTTTATTTAATGTGTTCTTTCTTCAGCTTTTTTTAAATGGTCAAGAATCATTATTTTATTGGTTAATTTCTTAATCTGCAAAGTGTTATGATGTGAGTTTTATATGGTAACAATTTGAAGTCTACATTATGCTAAACATCAAGTACCTGTTAGCTGAAGAGACTCAAACATTTTAATACACAAGATATTTAGACTACGGTTTACTGGTTGTCAAAAACAGTGATTACTGGTGCCAAATAATTAAATTAAAATCTTGTGCCAAGTCATCTCAGCAAAATGGGAATACTGAATATCTACCAATATTGTTATCTTACAGTATTACAGGAATTAAAAGTCAGAAATTAGATATTTATGTTATCTAAAGTACAGTATATATTTAAGATTGGCTTTGTTTACAATATTGGAAAAATACTCTTGGAATAAACATTATACTCTCAATATTATATGTCAATAAAACACAACTGTATCTGGTGGACGTGGTAGAGAAATGGCAATTTTGACAAAGGAGTGCTTCCAAAGGCATTTCCTTTAGAGATGGCTGAGGTTTTTCCACATTACAGAAAGACTACGTAATGTGGCGTGGCTATCTTGACCAAACTTCCATTTAGGCATCATAATTATGGTACATGTTCCCAAACTACTATTCTTTCTGTCCACCATGCTGACTCCAATATTCCATGATCCACTGTAATCTTTTGGTCTTCCCTCTTGCAGTGTGGCAGCCTGTGCTGCTATCCATTGAGTAGGTAGACTGCTAATTCATAGGTGGCCATCATAATGGCTGTGTCTGGAATCCGTCTCACCAAATGAGTTGTTAAACCAAGGTAGAGGGATCCATAACCTTCTTCTTGAATCAGCAAAGACAGTTTCTGAAAAAAGGATCTATATTTTGTTCTTTCTTCACATAATCTTGTTCTTACGACTTTATGTGGACATGTTATAGTTGTGGCACAAGTTTTTGAGGTGGCAGCAGCAAGCATCATTCCCACAAAATCTGATGCTTCTTTCACAGACTCTTCACCATTTTCTATCACAGAAGCAGTCTTACATTCCTGTAGTTCTTGCTTTATACTTTCATAAATAACAAAATGGATAACAGTCTCTGATATGCCAGCATAGGAAGCAGACATGCCCCTGTAAAATCCTTTACGTTCATCTATCTGATACACTTTATGAATACATTCAAAAGCACGCATTTGCTTTTCCCTATGATTCCTTGCATCAAGCTGTAGCCGAGTCTTTATAAGCCAGATGGGGTTGGTTGCAGTGATTGCAGTAAAACTTTAGTTCACGAACTTAATTAATTCCACGATTGAGGCTTAAGTTAGTGCATATTTCTACAGGAAGTGACCTGCAGATGGGGAGCATGAGACGGCACGATCTCACTCTTTCCTTGGGAGACATGTACAGTAAATGCCTAATGACTATACTGGACCATTCAGTTTCATCAACTTGTATTAAAAACCTGCAAAGCTAAATGTTAATGCTCATGAACAGTGCAAGGAAGCTCTGAAAGCACAATTCTCAGAACAATGGAATTGCCACTGCAGCTGAAATCATGTGAACCTGGGTCGAATCAGGATCAAATACACCATTCAATTTTTCCTTGCAGGTGGAGAAAGCAACAAAGTATACTGCTCTGGAAGGGGCCACCCCCACTACATTGGGACCTAATCCTCTGAACAAGGAACGAGGCCCTTCTTTTTCCAGGGTTGCTTTTAGGCAATGGAGGGGTCCAGGAGACACTACGCTGTTGACGCTGGCTCCAGCCACGGTGTTCAGCTGAACTTCAGAGACATAAAGCGTCACAAGACGACTGCAGCCGTGGTTTGCACCTTCCAGTGGACAGGTCAGAATCGCTCCCACTGTGCCCCCCCATCCCCCGGCACACAGGTGAACTCGGTCCTGGAGGGAGAAGGACACCACCCTGGGATGGCGAGGGGATGGCCTGGCCGGGAAACACATGGCTGCAGAGGGCAACCTGGCAGCCCTCCCTGCTACCGCCCACTCCTCTTCAGGTTTTGATTTGTTTTTTTACTATTTTTATCTCCCCATTGAACTTCCTCTTGTTCATGTATTATTTTCTGAGTTTTGCTGTCCCTCTGTGCTCTGGACACACATTGAGCTTCCTGAAAACAATTATTTTGAATTTTTTGGCAGTGCTCAGATCTCCAGTTCTTCAGTGTCAAAAGCGGAACACCTTGCTGGTTGGTGGTGTCCCGTTTCCTTGACTTCTTTATGTCTCACACAGCCTCGCATCTCTAACCCGGTGGCGTGGTCTCTGTGGACATGGCAGGCTGGTGTTAACGGGGTCACCATCTCCATGGTTCCATTCCAGGGAAAGCCCTGCAGCATGGTCTCCCTGCAGCTCCAGGAGCCGAGTCGGGATGGGGGGACTCAGGCCCCCACAGGGGTCTCCAGCTGTGGTGACTGCTGGGCTTTCCAGTGGCCGTGACTTCCCAGGACTCCTGACCTCGTTATCCCTATGGCAGTCACTGGGGCTGAGGGGAATTTGGGTTCCTGGTCTAGGTCAGGGCCTCCTGATGGCAGTGGCCCTGGTGTCCGGTGCAGGCTTCAAGGGGCTGGGCTTTGGAGGGAGGCCCTGTGCAGTGGCTGTGGCTCACAGTGGTAGCTGCAATGGGCTTCCTTCATGGGCCCAGAGCCAGGATCCAGATCCCAGGCCCGGAGAGGCAGTGGCACCTGGTTCATGGCCCAGTCAGCCTGCAGCGGTGGGGGCGACAGTGTTGTCTGCAGGTCTGGGCTCGTTCAGTGACTGTGTTCCTGCCTCTGAGCAGGGCTGGCCCCCCAGGGATGGTTCCAGTGCTGGAGGCATAGATGCCCAGTGAGGGCTGAAGAGCCGGGGCTTGGAGCCAGGCATGTGCAGTGAGGCTGCAGTTCTGAGCTGAGAACAGCCTGGCTGGGCAGTGGGAGGCCTGACAGCCATGGCTCAGGCTGGTCCAGGGCCACTGTGGGTAGGAACAGGAGCATCTCCCAGGGGTTGGGCAGTCATTGCAGGGCTGTTGGTCACTTCTGGGGTGCGTGGTATCACTGTCCATGGTGCAGCAGCTGCTGGGCTCGGTCCTGGCAGACGGGGTGAAGTCCTCCTCACTGGGGGGCAGGCAGAGTCCTCTGCAGAGCAGTCCTGGGGCTCGGTGGCCCTTTCCTATACACCCTGGTCATCTACAGAGGGGCCCTGCTATGCCAGTGTCCCCAGGGACCCCTGCACCGAGTTGTTTTAGGTCTTACTTGAACACTTGAGCCAAGTTTGCTAAATAGTTTTTCTCAATAGTTTAAGTCTTACCGATTTCCTATGTTATATCAATTATTGAGGAAGAGGTACTAAAATCTGCAAATGCTATTTTTGGATCCTTCTGAATCTTCCTGTGAGGATATCAGCCTCTGCTTGATGCTTCTGAAGCTCTGTCACCACTACGTAAGTTCAGCATTGCTGTTTTGTGGGTCAGTTGAACCCCTCACAGTCATGAAATGATCAAATGCCTTCCAAACCATACATCTGCTAAGTTCACTTTGTCTGATTTTCACGCAGACCCTGCAGGCTTCCTGTGATTAGTACCAATGCGCTTCCTGGCCACGGAGTGGACCCTCCAGGTGGGCTTGGGTCCCTCCGTGGTGGTGACAGCACTTCACTGCAGAAGAAGCCCCAGGGAGTCACCGAGAGCCCTCCATCCCTATTCTGGGAGGAAATGAAGCCATTTTCAGGGTACAAAGAAAACAAACGCTCTCAGAAGGACAAACCAAACATTATCTAAACATGGGGAAATATATTTGAATTTAAACTATAATTATTCTGCTGAGAAAAATAAAAAGACTGTTGAATTTATAATGTTTGTCTGCAATGCAAAGAAGTCTATAAATCACCTTAAATGAAGAGCCAGCGAAGTTGATGAGTGGAGTCTGCTTCATTTTCCCTTGTTTAGGATGAATAAATGATCAATCAGCTTAAAACCGAACTTTGTTTCTCTAATCCCAACTGTCTAGTAGCAGTATTTAACACAAAATGTTCTTCTTCAATTCCAGACATTCACTGAATTCTGATTATTTCTCCATCAGATGTAAAAAGTAGATCATAAACAAAAAACAATTATTTCAAAAGCATTCAAAGTTGACAGGCTTGTTTTGTTTTTGTGTTTTTATTGTGGACAGAGAAAAGCCTATTCATATCTCCAGATTTGGTCTCATCAAAATAAAGTGTTTGTCTTTTAAGAGAAATTCAGACAGGGCATTGAAGGGCACAGCAGGTGGAAGTTTGTCATTCTGGTGGCCTCCAAGGCAACCTCTCCAAACCCGGGAATCTGCTTACCTGGGAGTGACTGTGGGAAGCTGCCAGTGAACTCCACCTTCTCCCTGTGTCACTTCCCATTGTGTCCTCCGCAGTCTGGGATGTGGCTGGCGTGAGCCCTGCCTTCAGGTGAGGCTCTGTGTATGGAAGTTTGCAGGGCTCAGTGTGCATCAAATGCAACCTCCACCACAAGCTTTGTCACCACCACGGCCAGGTACAGGACTGGTGCTAAGGGCTTTTACTCCCTTCCTGTCACCTGCAGCAGAGGATTATGCTGTGTGGGGTTGTGACTTCTAGCTGGAGAATAGCAACTTCTGTTTTCTGAATCAGGACACTTGGTATATAAATGATTTGATGCATGTAATTCCATTTTATCCCCAGTTAAGATTATATAAAGGAAAATCTCTGAGGACAGTTACCATGTATCATAAAATGTCCCAAGGTGTCAAATCTTGACAAGTTTTTGGCCTCAAGTCCTAACAGTGTGTTCCTTCTATGATAATACACTAATGAATCTAGTGAGCTTAAGAATATAACAGAGGCTCTTTATGTATAAGAAATAACACATCTAATAACAGCCAGCTAGCATATCAAAAATCACCAAAGGATTTAATTTAAACACTTAAATTGGTGCCTATAGAAATCTTGAGGTAGGTGTTCTGAACTGTAACATAAAAATATAAGATTTACTATGTATGTATATGTACTGTGATCTCAAATAAACTACAGCAGAGATCCTAATGTTTCTTAACCCACTAAATGGTTGATAATGTATGTTCAACCTCAATTTCATCTCTGAACTGGAAATAATTGCAACATGTATATCATAAAATAGAATTTGGGATTAACTTACACTTACAATATAGCCTTATGGGCCAGGGATGTAGCTCAGTGGCAGCGTGCCTGCCTGGCAACCACAAGATCCTGAGTTCGATTTCCAGTACTGAAAAAAATATATAGCCTTATGCAAAACACAGATATTAGCTTAGGAGAAATGGTCAGGTGAAGTTCAAACAGTTATTATTATTAATTATCTCTCACCATGATTCTAAGTCACTTTAAGAAAAATTAGGTATTACATATTTTCATCGTAGCCTTCATGCTTAAAACCATATGTATATAAGAATTTCCATTTCCTAGCAATAAACTATAAATTTAGGAGACATAAGTTCCAAGTGGAAGAAATGGACAATACCAGGACCAATTTGTGAGATAACACAGGAAGTGCTAAGTGGTTAGAAGACAGTAAAAGATACACTGTCACCTAAGTTCTTGTGGGACACCATCCCCTATATGTACCCATTCTTTATATATGCACACTGTAATGGAAGCCATAGGGCTTACAGTGATGTTTTGCAGCATTAATTCTTGATAGAACATAACTGATATCAAAGCCAAAATGTTCCAAGTCAGAGAAAGCAGAGAAGCAAAGCTGCCTGCAAAGCATAGGTAATAATCTCTCAGGGACTTGATGGGGGGTGGAGCTTTGAATCACTAGACATTACGAGCATCAAACAAAACTACACAGATAAAGAAAAATTAAGTAAGACCAGAGGTGAAGCTCAGGTTGTTCAGGGACAGGATAACTTCATGAGACCTGTTGGTAAAATACCTGCTTTGGCCACAGTAAAGTCACACTATAATTTTTCTTTGATCTCTGGTCTAACACTGTCATCTAGTGGCAGTAATCTGTTTAGCAGTGAGAATAGTACCCAATGAACACATGGGATTTCATTCTCCATCCCAATTCCAAGCCCCATGCTCAACCCATGCAATGTAAATTTTTCTTAAATAGAATGTTTGTGTAGATTTAGTAGGTATTTGTGTATTTGCATATGTACTTAACTCTTCTTCAGATATATGATATTTCATTTTACTTCTTTTTTTTGGTAGAGGGGATCGAACTTCATTTTACTTCTTTAATGTCTGAAAATAATATTGAGAATAAAATCTGACACATATCAGAAAGCTTAAAACTTTTTACCAATTTTCTAGTATTTTGATGTTAATGTACTTTTCATTTAAAATATTTAACTTAGCTCTTTCTGGATGTTTATATAGTTGAATTACTCTATTTCATAATGCGTACTTAAGGACATAAATACATGTAATCATTCTCTTTGTCCACCCTAAGAAATCTCAATGTTTAATATCCAGAGAAGACAGATGAATTCCAAATTTTGCTGTGACTATAGCCTGAATGAGGAGGAAGGATGGCAGAAAATGTTTCTTTTCCTGTGCCGGGAGAACAGCATAACCTATTCCTCTGATCTTCACAGTCTTTCCCCAGTGTCTCCTATTTTGCCATTCCCTCCCCTGATGCACAAATTCTAATCACCTTTCTACCCTCTACTTCTGACTTGAACCGTGTTGTATTCCATGTGTGCCTGGCATATTTGGGTTAACATAACGTCCTGTGGGTTCATTCAGTGATCACAGATGGCAGAACTTCCTGGTTTCTAAAAGCCTGACCCAGCTTCCATTGTGTTTCTACATATGCCAGACTTTTCATCCACGCGTGCACTGGCGGACCCTGTCTTGGGTACTGCAACGACACAGGTAGGTAGAATTTCCTCCACATGCAGATTTCATTTCTTTTGTGTTTTATATCTAGTAACGAGATTGCTGGATTGTGTGGAAATTCTATATTTGGGAGCCTCCCTCC